TAAAGCTGTTTTACCTAACATTGTGCCATATTGACAACAGTGTACTTTTTATTTTTAAAACTAAGTTTCAGTGTTTAGAGTTTCAACTCTTTGAACGTATGGGATATTTACAAGTTGCTTATAAGTGAAAGCGTAACGGATATTTTACTCTTATTTTAGTAGTTTATCAATTTGTAATATTTATGTTGCCTTGATAACACACACACACATACGGATAAAAGTAGCAGCAGAAATTTTAACACATAAAAAACCTTATGGATGTGTTAAACTTCACTGTGGTAAAATTACTGATGTTCTTTGGTCATGCGTGCCAAAGCATTTGGAAGTGAAGTGTCTTGATGTCTGCAGCTTATTCTAAAAAAAGGGGAGAGGGAGGGAAAGAAGGAACTAGAGATAAAGCCAAGAGTTGCAGAATGTTAATAGTTGGTGGGTTTAGGTGAAGGGTATTGTTCATTGTAATATTCTTTCAACTTTTCTGAAGGCTTGAAAATTTTCAATATAAAAATTTGGGAAAAACAGTCACAGGGAATAAATAAAACAAATTAACTTGAAGAAGTATGTGTCAGTATTATAAGAAATGACTTACCAGGATAAAAATATATTACATTAGGATAAAATTATGTGGGGGAAGTAGAATGAAGAGCTTGTTCATAAATTTCTGTAAATGGATGATGGTGGATATGAAATTGCCATTATGATTTTTAGATTTCATTGGTACATTTAAAAGCAATGAAACTATTTTATTTTAAAATATCAACTTCTGTCAGAAACAGCATCTTTTGCAACTCTTCAAACTTACGATGAAAATTTTAGATGTCAAATTAGAACTCTACAAGAGGGTAGATGATTTTTTTTTTTTTTTTTGCGGTATGCGGGCCTCTCACTGTTGTGGCCTCTCCTGTTGTGGAGCACAGGCTCCGGACGCGCAGGCTCAGCGGCAATGGCTCACAGGCCTAGCCGCTCCGCGGCATGTGGGATCTTCCCGGACTGGGGCACGAACCCGTGTCCCCTGCATCGGCAGGCGGACTCTCAACCACTGTGCCACCAGGGAAGCCTGAGGGTACATGATTTTTAAAAAATTCTTTTGTAGTAAGCAGGCACACAGGTTTGAAGACTGGATCTGGCTAACATTCTTTCAGCTCTTTAGGTTCTAGGAATATGGTGCTAAGGGTTCACTCAGTTATACTACAGACTGACAGATCATTCTGCATGACAGGTGGATATGACTGTTTTAGCAAAGGCACTGTATAGCTTGTGAAGCACAACCATAATAACCTGCCCTCAAGCCTGGACTACTCCCGTGGACATACAAACTTCATGATTGCTGAGAGCAATCATTTTTTTTTAAATCACAGAATTGTTTTATGACCTTGTAATTTCCCTTTTCTATAAATGTGAATAATTTCTTTAAAAACTATATTATAAGTTAATGACATTACTTAGGTAATTTTTGCTGGCCATGAAACTAGTAATTCTATAAACTAGAAGTTGATAAATGAATTTCTTTTTATTCTAAGTGTCTTTAAAAAACTCTCAAAGTACTTTACTTTTTTTTTTCTTTTCCATTATGGTTTATTACAGGATATTAAATATAGTGCCCTGTGCTACACAATAGGACCTTATTGTTTATTCTATATATAATAGTTTGTATCTGCTGTTCCCAAAGTCCCAATCCATCCCTCCTTGTGGAAGGACTTTACTTTTTTTTTTTGTGGTACATGGGCCTCTCACTGTTGTGGCCTCTCCCGTTGCGGAGTACAGGCTCCGGGCTCAGCGGTCATGGCTCACGGGCCCAGCCACTCCGCAGCATGTGGGATCTTCCCGGACTGGGGCACGAACTCGTGTCCCCCGCATCGGCAGGCGGACTCTCAACCACTGCACCACCAGGGAAGCCCAAAGGACTTTACTTTTGATAGTTACTTTGACTTGAGGTCATTAGTATAGAATTTTGGAATGTGTACTATGAATATTGAGTGGTGCTGGATATTACTGTGTTACTGTGTAAACTATACCCCATAGTACTTACTCATTATTTAAATATTCTGCTAAAAGGTTAAGATATAAATTTTGGATTGGAAGAGTGAGGCATACAAGGTGTGTGTATACGTTGTGCAAGACTTTGGGGGCTGAAAACCATGTGTACTTTCTCTTGGACAGAAACGTTGGGAGAATATTATTCCTTTGAATAGATCAAGCCATGTGGTTAATAGAGACTTCAGCATGTTCTTATAACATGTTTCCTTGGTTTCATACTTAAAATGGGAGACTTAATTTAATGAAATCCAGATTAAAAAAATCACCCGTGGTGTTTTCAAAAGTGTCCATAATTTAACGGTGAAAATCAGAAAATTTACATTACTACCATTTCATTTTCAGACCTACTCAAGTTTTGTCACTTGTCTCAATGATGTCCTTTATAGCAAATGATTCATTTCAGAATCACACATCATCACATTTAGTTGACATGTTTCTTTAGTCTCCTTCAGTCTGGAACAGTTCTTTAGTTTTTCCTTGACTTTAAAGATCATAGGCCAATTATTTTGTAGAATGGACCTGAATTTTGGTTGTCTGGTATTTTCTCATTATTAGATTCAGGTTATGTATCTTAGAGAAGAATTTCACAAAACTGATTCTGTGTTCTTCTCATTGCATTCTGTTAGATGGTATGTGATTGCATTTTGTCTCATTGCTGGTGATGTTCACCGATCACCTGATAAGATGTTGTCCACCAGATTTTTTGTATTAGTTTCCTATCATTGCTGTAACAAACCACAACCTTAGTGGCTTAATATTACACAAATTTATAGTTTTGGAGGCCAGACTTCCAAGGGTGGTTTTACTGGGCTAGTGATTGTGTTGGCAGGGCAGGTTCTTTCTGCAGGGTTTAGAATAGAATCCTTGCCTTTTCCAGCTTCTGGAGACAGCCTGTATTCTTTGGTTTGTGACCTCTCCTTCCATCTTCAAAGAACATCACTCCAACCTCTGCTTGCATTGTTACATCATCTTCTTTTTGACCCTCCTGCTTCCTTATAAGGACCCCTGTGATTATATTGGGACCACCCAGATAATATAGGATAATCTTCCCATCTCAAATCTTTAATTTAGTCACATCTGTGAAGTCCCTTTTGCCGTGTAAGATAATATATTCACTGGTTCTGGGTTTTAGGATGTGGTGGACATCTTGACAGGGGGCAATTACTCAGCCTATCACACTTCCCCACTGTAAAATCATTCTTTCCCTTTTGTAATTTTTTGTGGGAAGATACTTGGATCTCTGGTTCCCATTAGCAGAGAATGCTATTTAGAAATCAAGATCTGGGTGCTAGGTGTGCTCACTGCTATTGAGATGTCATTGTTCCTAGGCTAACTTAATAGAGTTAGAGAATGTGTATGTATGTGTATAGATCTACATCTATATTTCTATATTAAAAGATATTAACTAGTTCTTACTCATATCTTCAGTTCCACTCTAATACCACAGAGTTAATTCATGTTTTCTAATTTTTCACATATGTAACTCCCTTCTCTGACAGTGAAAAACTGACTGCAGTTATCCTTAATATATTAACTTACTTGATAATTCTCCCTGCATATTACCAGTCTCCTTTTCTGCCACCACCCCTCCCCCTACATGGATCCCTCTTCACCACACCTGTTTCTGATACCTCCTGCCACATAGCTCTTTCATATGGATTCTTTCCTGGAAGCATGGTGATAACAGGGTTGGTGGGCTTCTTTATGGCAGCTTTGGAACATTCTATTATATGCAAAGTTCTTTTACTTACCTGAGATCTCATTTAAGGACTTTGGTTTTGTAGTTTTTTAATATTGTGAAAAAATTTTTATTTAGTATTAAGGAGCTGGACTCAGTTGAGATGATCTCAGTTTTGTTGGCAACATCCAAAGCATCATAGTCAGTAGCCAGTCGAACATACCTTCTTCTCTCCATCAGCCCTGATCAGGGTGTTGACCTTGGCCATGTCAATGTTGTAGAGCTTCTTCATAGACAGTTTGATCTGGTGCTTGTTGGCTTTGACATTCATAATGAACCCAGGTGTATTGCAGTCTTCTGTCTTCTTCATGACCAACTCCCTGCTCAAGGGGAACTTAATGATGACATAGTGGTTAAGCTTGTCGCTCTTCCAAGGATAAACGGGCTGCCTTCGGGGTTTCTTGAGCCACCCAGAAAGTGGGTAACATGCAATCTTCTTTTTCTGTGTGTGTGGATATGGATGCTTTTTAGCACTGCCTTCTTGGCCTTCCAAGCTTTTGTTTTTGGCTTTGGAGTGGCATGGGCTTCTTTCTTTGCTTTCTATATGCCATCTTCATGAAAAGGTAGATTTTTATTTTAAAACTTACCTATTTTTTTTTTAAACTTGGGAGAGTTATTCAAACCAAGTGATTGTGGTGAGCTTAGTAAAACAGTATATGATACGTTGGCTTTGGTTTAATTCCTTTTTAATTGAATTGCAGATTTTTCCTGGGGACTAAAATAATACCTTTTGTTATAACTCTCATATAAACCTATTTTAACTTCTTAAGGGTTTGGGTGACTTTTCTCATTTAACATAATTATTTTCATATTTGAAGACTATCATTTCTGCTTGGCTTCCTTAATAAAGTGCACGTTCCAACTATTTTGCACTTTTTGTTACTTTTATAGCAGAAGGGAAAGGAGGAGAGAATTTCTCAGAAATTACTGATTATATAACTAAATATTTTGGGTTCAAGTCAGTTTTTAATTTTTTCAGTTAGAAGTTAAGTCTCACATGACAAATGATTGCCTGGTAGTTGAATAAAATTTTCTAGATAGATCATTTGTTCTCAGTGGTAGAAAATTTAGCCTATCTTGTGAATTTTTCTTAAAAGTTTAAGTAGAGAGTACTTTGTTCCAATATAATATTAGCATGATAATGAAGGTTAGTATGGTTTTAACTCTGGTTTTGCCTTCACTGTGGAAATCGTTGAACTTATCACCTTATTTTTCTTTTTTTTGACAGAGCAAAATCGATTAAAGAATATCAGAAAAGTATATGGAAGATGTATGTGGTATCGTTTACGGTTATTAAAACCTCAGCCAAATATTATTCCTACAGTAAAGTAAGTAATTGATTTCAATAAAAAACATACTTAGTGCTTACTCTTTGCTAGGTATCATATAAAATAGGGGTATAATGATGAATAAAAACATGTGTTTGTAAAGAAATTGTAACCTTAGTAGGGGTAAGATATGATTAGTAAATTTGAAAACAGTCTGAACAGAGTGGTTTAGAAGTTCAAAAAGAGAGAGAGTGTACTTCTGACTTGGGGGAGGAGGGGAGAAAGAGAAGTCAAATCTTAAAGGAAGATCTTGTATATCTTGTGTCAGGATTTGAATTTTGTCTTAAAGACTATGGAGGAATCTTTAAAAGGTTATCGAAAGCACGGAGGTGACAGGGTCACCTTGCTTGGTGATTGAAGTTTTTGAGCACATACTGTGTGCCAGGTGCTGTGCTAGGATTCTATATGTTATCTCATTAGTTTTATGTTAACTTTAAGGTAGATATTTTTGCTTTTTCTCAGATGAGGAAACTGAGACTAAGGAGATGAGGGAACTTGACCAAGTTCCTGCCCAAGAGGTGGTGGAGTGGGGACCTAGTTACCCTTTATTTTTGCAGGGCCATCTGCTTAAACAGGCCATTAGCATGTTTAATTAGAGTAGGTGACTTTGATTTTTTGAGGCTGTCGGGTAATGCTGGTTAGCCTGGGCTTTGGATCTTCACCCTAAGTCATCAATTTACAGGTAACAGATGAAACTGAGGGGAAGTGAAAGAGCTGCCATTATTGGAGGACTGTATCCTGTGATTTACCTACATATATCTATCCAGTAGATAGGAGGGCAAGACCTAGCAGAGGATATTAGTAAAAGTGGATCCAGTTATTTTTAAAAATTGGTTTAGGGCTTCCTTGGTGGCGCAGTGGTTGAGAGTCCGCCTGCCGATGCAGGGGACATGGGTTCGTGCCCCGGTCCGGGAAGATCCCACATGCCGCGGAGCGGCTGGGCCCGTGAGCCATGGCCGCTGAGCCTGCGCATCCGGAGCCTGTGCTCCGCAACGGGAGAGGCCACAGCAGTGAGAGGCCCGCGAACCGCAAAAAAAAAAAAAAAAAAAAAAAGAAAAATTGGTTTAAATGATGATGATAGTTTTCAAAATATGTGCCTGGATTAGTTCTTTTGTAGAGGGAGGGAAATCTTAGCTTTGGTGTTAAGAGTTCTTCAATGGTGTGAAACTAAAAGGCAAAATTAGTGTTTACAAGAGTAGTTTCATGTTCACTATGTATTCCTTGCTATTCTCATTTTTTGTTTTGTTTTTTTAATTTATTTATTTCGGCTGCATTAGGTCATCATTGCTCACGCGGGCTTTTCTCTAGTTGCGGCAAGCAGGGGCTACTTGTCGTTGCGGTGTGTGGGCTTCTCATTCAGTGGCTTCTCTTGTTGCGGAGCATGGGCTCTAGGCACGCGGGCTTTAGTAGTTGTGGCCCGCGGGCACAGTAGTTGTGGGTCGCGGGCTCTAGAGCACAGGCTCAGTGGTTGTGGCGCATGGGCTTAGTTGCTCCATGGCATGTGGATCTTCCCGGACCAGGGCTCGAACCCATGTGCTGTGCATTGGCAGGTGGATTCTTAACCACTGCGCCACCAGGGAAGTCCTTGCTTCTCGTTTTAAATTAAACTTTTATGAGGCAGCAGGCAGATATTTTTGGCTTTCCAGTCTCTTCTGTTTTGGGCCTTGGTCAACACATTGTGGGTATCTGAACCTCAGTTTTCAAGAAAAAAACCCAACTTTGTGATGTTCTCTTTAATAATTAGTAAAGAGATTTACTTAAATAGAAGTACAGATTAATGGATGTTTAAATAAGGAAGAATTAAATAATACTGGTAAAATTTTAGATAAGGTCAGGAACCATCAAAACCTTTTTGCTACTTAACCTTGAAGCATTCTTTCAAAATTAAGTAGTCATTGTGTAATACTCTAATTTCCGGAAGTTGCTTAAAAGAAAAAACACAAGACCTCAACTTAATTACTGAAGCCGTATGTAGGGAAAATGTTTGTCTTTTAAGAGAAACCAAACATGTTTTTAAAAAATTGGGCACAGAGTATGATGTAATCTGTTATGTTTCTACCTTTGGTATGGCTCTCAGGAGATTAGAGCGTGGTTTTATTGGCTGTGGTAGTTTTCATCAGCCTGGGGATTCTGTCATTAACCTCTTCTCTCTTCCCTTTATTCTTTGGCTCAGAGAGCTAGATGCTACATGAAGAGCATCTAATGCAGGGTGTAGTGTGTTTTAGGTGTTTTGTTCCCTTTCTCTTCTACCCTTGTTTGCTTTAAAATTTTACTTTAGTGGTTTTCAATTTTACTTTTATCATTGTTTTTTGAGCTTTGTAGCCTTTTGGGGAAGTTCACAAAACAAAATTTGGAGTTACTAAGTTTGTGTGGAAATAAAATACATTTTCAAGTGTTCTTTAGCATATTGAGGGTATTAGCAAACTTTCGGTTTGAGTCAAAAGTTACTGTTTTAAATTATTTTCATTATTCATAAAATAAGTAGTTATTGTGTGCTATGTATGTGTCAGGTATTATACTAGGCGCTGACATACCTGAGTAACAAATACTAACAAGTAAACAAGTGAATATAATAGAGTTTAGTAAGGGTTGTAAGGGACGGGGAGGGTGTGCCATGAAAGAACAGAGGGAGGGCTCTTAACTGGCATGAGATAGAGAAGATTTCCTTGTAAGTGAGGTCCTAGTTGAAAGCTGAGACTTGGGTTAGAGTTACTAATAACAGCAAATAGCTACCATGAATTGGTTGTTTACTATCTGTGAGGCATCTTTTAGGGGCTTTACATACCTAATCTTATTTAATTCTCAGACCCACCCTAAAAGTTGGAAGTTGAATGTAAAAGGCTAAGCAGCTTGCCAAGATCTCTAAGTTAATAAGTGGTAAAGTTGGGATTTGACTTCAGGTAGTTTTTGCTCCAGAGCCTATGTTCTTAACTACCTCTCCCTAGATAGCCAGGTAAAAGTGGGAGTATTCCAGGTAGGCCTCCCTCTTCGTCTTTGGGCATACAGATAGTATGGAAAGCAGCTTGCAGTATTATGCCCTTAATAAGGTTTAGAGCATTAATTTGGTCAGATAGAAAGAAATTTGCATCTGAGTGCCATCTCTGTTTGTTACTCTGAGGTTAGTCAGAACTGAATAAGATCCTGTCCACGTGCTCAAGGAGTTTGCAACGAGCCAGAGGAGGAAGTTCATGGTTTGTGCTTCTTTGTGACTGTAACCATGATATCCCCATTGATCATCTTAACAGGGGTTAAGGATTGCTTCTTGGAGGATACATAATTTGAGTTGAGTCTTGAAGGATGAATATAGTTTGGATACGCAGCAATGGGGAATGGGAATTCTAGGTTGAAAGACCCAAGAAAGCAAAAGCATAATGGTGGGAAAAGCTTAGGGGACTGTGGGATATGGGGATTTATTTTGTTTGAAATACTAGAGTGATAAAAGTAAGGAGGTAGGTTGGAACTGGATCCTGGAAACTCCAAATAAACACATTTAAGCTAGGTTCCTATCAAGAGAGCTTAAACACACGGAATGTTTTCTTTCTGTATTTGAAAATAGGTCACTTCAGTTTTGTTTGATTAGGTCTCCTATGATTCATTTATGTCTTTGTTTAACAGTTCCTACCTAATGTAACAAATTGTGATACAAAAGTTATAAAAAAATTATTCAATCTCATCATTAAAGATAACCACCATTAAGATGATTTACCTTATTAGATAACTCCCTAACACCATACACAAAAATAAGCTCAAAATGGATTAAAGACCTAAATGTAAGGCCAGACACTATCAAACTCTTAGAGGAAAACATAGGCAGAACACTCTATGACATAAATCACAGCAAGATCCTTTTTGACCCACCTCCTAGAGAAATGGACATAAAAACAAAAATAAACAAATGGGACCTAATGAAACTGCAAAGCTTTTGCACAGCAAAGGAAACCATAAACAAGACCAAAAGACAACCCCTAGAATGGGAGAAAATATTTGCAAATGAAGCAACTGACAAAGGATTAATCTCCAAAATTTATAAGCAGCTCATGCAGCTCAATAACAAAAAAACAACCCAATCCAAAAATGGGCAGAAGACCTAAATAGACATTTCTCCAAAGAAGATATACAGACTGCCAACAAACACATGAAAGAATGCTCAACATCATTAATCATTAGAGAAATGCAAATCAAAACTACAACGAGATATCATCTCACACCAGTCAGAATGGCCGTCATCAAAAAATCTAGAAACAAATGCTGGAGAGGGTGTGGAGAAAAGGGAACCCTCTTGCACTGCTGGTGGGAATGTGAATTGGTACAGCCACTATGGAGAACAGTATGGAGGTTCCTTAAAAAACTACAAATAGAACTACCATATGACCCAGCAATCCCACTACTGGGCATACACCCTGAGAAAACCATAATTCAAAAAGAGTCGTGTACCAAAATGTTCATTGCGGCTCTATTTACAATAGCCTGGAGACGGAAACAACCTAAGTGTCCATCATCGGATGAATGGATAAAGAAGATGTGGCACATATATACAATGGAATATTACTCAGCCATAAAAAGAAACGAAATTGAGCTATTTGTAATGAGGTGGATGGACCTAGAGTCTGTCATACAGAGTGAAGTAAGTCAGAAAGAGAAAGACAAATACTGTATGCTAACACATATATATGGAATTTAAGAAAAAAAAATGTCGCGAAGAACCTAGGGGTAAGACAGGAATAAAGACACAGACCTACTAGAGAACGGACTTGAGGATATGGGGAGGGGGAAGGGTAAGCTGTGACAAAGCGAGAGAGAGGCATGGACATATATACACTACCAAACATAAGGTAGATAGCTAGTGGGAAGCAGCTGCATAGCACAGGGAGATCAGCTCGGTGCTCTGTGACCGCCTGGTGGGGTGGGATAGGGAGGGGGAGGGAGGGAGACGCAAGAGGGAAGAGATATGGAAATATATGTATATGTATAACTGATTCACTTTGTTATAAAGCAGAAACTAACACACCATTGTAAAGCAATTATACTCCAATAAAGACGTTAAAAAAAAAAGATTTACCTTCTATATTTTTACTTATAATAAACTTTTATTTACAAAGAATAGGATTATATTATACATACAGCTTTGAAAGCTGTTTTTCTAATTTAACAGTACAAGGTAGATAATCTTCCACAGCAAATATTTTTAGTGTCTAGATAGTATCTCTCTATGGATGTACTGTTATTTATCTTTTCAGTACTCTATTGATGGACATTTATGTGTGTATGTTTTCAGCTATGAATTATACCTGTAACCACCCTTTTATACTTTATAAACTTAATTTTAGTTTATTTCCTTCTAAATTTCTTGAAGTGGAATAGATGATAGTTAAAAAGGTATATACTTCTTTAGGGCTTTTGATAACCTTATTGCCAGATATTCCTTCAGAGTGTAGAATGTATGAGAGTTCCTTTTTACCTTAGCCTCTCCAACACTGATAATATCAATCTTTTGAATATTTTTACTAAATAGAACATATTGAGGAGAAAAGAAATTAGTTTTTTTCAAACTGTATGTTCTTTTATATCTTTTTTTAACCTGTTATGCACGTCTTTCTATATCTGTTAGCTAAAAATGTTCTGTTGTGTGGCTATATCTTGGTTTATTTAATTAGTCTCCTATAAATGGTTTATTTAATTAGTTCCTTATAAATGGACATTTAAGGTTGTTTCCAAATTTTTACTGTTATAAACAAGGCTACTTATTCATCTTTGCACAATTGACCCATTATTTTTCATAGTTTATCTTACTAAAAGTGTAATTACAAGGTCAAGAGCAATTCTTCTTTACATTAAATGGTTAACTGAATACTAAGTATTAATATATTTTGATCTAATGGAATGGGTTCAATAAGTTAATGAGTACATTAACTTCTTACTTAAAATTCTGCAAATAGTAACTGAGAGAATATTATATGCCAGGCACTGCTAGATTCTAGAGAATTCAAAGGTGAAAAAAGATGCTGTCCTTATTGTGTCTTACAACCCAGTGGTTATAGAATTTGAGTCAATAGCACAGTGACATGAGACTACTTAAGATCGTTTTATGCCTTGCCATAGTGTCTTTAGAATCTTAAAGGAAAACCATATAGTTGTATTTATTTATACTTCACTTATCTTTTTTCTAAACAGGAAAATAGTTCTGCTTGCAGGATGGGCATTGTTATTATTCCTTACATACAAAGTTTCCAAAACAGACCGAGAATATCAAGAATACAATCCTTATGAAGTATTAAATTTGGATCCCGTAAGTAGTATTTTATATAGTCCCTTGAAAATACTCTGGGCCCACAGCCTAAAAGAAATTGAGCTGTGCCTGAAGAAATCAGACTCTGGTCAGTTAAAAAAGATACCTAATCCGTTATTATTCTAATGCATATATGTTTTTTTTGGTTGTTTTTTCTTTGTGGTACGCGGGCCTCTCACTGTTGTGGCCTCTCCCGTTGCGGAGCACAGGCTCCGGACGCGCAGGCTCAGTGGCCATGGCTCACAGGCCCAGCCGCTCCGCGGCATGTGGGATCCTCCCGGACCGGGGCACGAACCCGTATCCCCTGCATCGGCAGGCGGACTCTCAACCACTGCGCCACCAGGGAAGCCCCAGCATATGTTTTTTAAGCCACAGATGTTGATTGCCATCCTATTAAGAGTTGGTTTGTAATTGCTAAAATGTAAAAATATCTGAAGATGAGATGAGAAGTTAGTATATTTTTAAAAGACATTTCTAAGGTTGGTTTAATGCAAAGTTAGAAGCAGGAGGTTTATTTATGTTAGTTGGATGGGACCCTGTGTTAGTTGACACTAAGGCAGTGTGTTGGTGTCTTTGTCATAGAAATTCAGGTTAATCTTGAGTGTACCTGTTAGCTGACTTTCTTGATTGAACTTGAGTGATGGGTCCCAGTAGAAAATTGGTCTTTTAAGTTAATCAGTGGAAAGTTAGAACTGAAATGAATGCTAGAGATCATCTACCCTTTTTTTCTCATGGAGAAAATGAGGCCTGGAAAATTTGTGTTTTGTCTGGGGTCCCATAACTTCTTAGTAACCAAGGTGAATCTAGTGCCCTTTCCATTTTTTCTGCCATACTACTTTTTTTTTTACTTCTAGTCTCTCCTCAGTAGATGGCTTGATCCAGAGACTCATATGATACACAGTAAGGAGTGTGCTAATCTTGTAGCTTTCTGCTTTGTAGAAGAAAAGTTTGCGTATCATCTGAGTTTTCTTATTGTGATGATCATGGTTATCAAGAGAGATTTTTTAAGATTAAAAGGTTTAGGGGCAATTTAATGCCGTGAAAAATTTATTCATAGAAATTGAATCTAATTAGGAAACAACTAAGGTAAACTTATTAAGTATTTACTTAACATTAAAATATTGACAAGCAGGTGAAACCAGAAATTCTTCAGATTTTTTTCTTAGAAAGGAAGTTAACCTTTGATTTGAGTTTTTTTTCAGCCAGACTTAATTTACTGTGATCATTCTTTGATATTTAAATGTCACTATCATTTTATTTTATTTAAATGGCATTATATAGTATCAGTCTAAAATTGTCGGTGCCTAGGGTACTGCGTGGCACATACTAGGTGCTCAATAAAATAAAATATCTTGGACAAAATGAATATTTTTATTTTAAAAATATGTGAGTGAAATTTATAGGACAAGGTATATATAGGATGAAAACTTCATTTTCTGTTTCTGAAAATATTGAGTAGTTCAATATTTTAAGTTCAAAGTGGGATGGATTATGTTTTTACAGCATTGTGGTTATTTTTACTAAAACAAAGCCTTTTCTTTTAGGGGGCGACAGTAGCAGAAATTAAGAAACAGTATCGTTTGCTGTCACTTAAGTATCATCCAGATAAAGGAGGTGATGAAGTTATGTTCATGAGGATAGCAAAAGCTTATGCAGCGTAAGTATTATAGGACCCGTTACACATTTTTAAGAGTGGTAAAGATAGTTTTCTATTTGAATAAAGTAGTAATAAAGTAGTTGTCATACACTTTTATTAAGCGCCTCATATGTTGAGTCTATCATTTATGGAACTACCTGGCAACCCTGAAGTGTTAATTTAGCCAAACCTTAATTTTAAATAACTTACAGTAGTGCTTTTGCCATGTAAGTTGGTTAAATTAAGTAATAAGTGATGTGTTAATTGAGCTATTTTCAAAGCATCCTGATTAGAAGAGATATACTTGCACCTTGTTTTCATTTCTAGGCTTTTTGTTAGGCTAGATCTATTTCTTTTATTTTGGCTTATAGCTTGTCTCATTTAAACTATAAACTAAAGATGAGTTTAATTTTGGGGAAACAGGATAGGGTATATAAAATTTGAAGTAATTCCTTGAGTATTAATATTACAAGAGTTAAAAAGCTAGCTGGACTCTTCAGGAATCATAGATATATACCACACAGCTCTTATGTTGAATTAAAGAGTAAAATACAGACAAGATGTTATCTGTTTTTTGAGGACTCGGTGATGTATATAATTTTGTAAGCTAACTTAAAAAATATAAGTAAATAATAGGATATGCAGATATAATAGCAGGCTGTGAAAGTGGAATGTGAATGACAGAAGTTTGGGAAATATCATCTTACGCATTTTTGTGCTTAATAAAAGTATATTGACCGCGTCTCCTCTCTGCCTAGCCCGCCCCCCCTTTGTGGATTGCTTGTTATCTATGTGAATATGATTCTGTAATAAAGCAATACTTTCAGGAGCTTCTGAAGTGTATACTACATTTTCTTTTCTACGCAGCAGACGTCCTCCAGATTGCTGTCTTTCAGTTGGTGTCTCCTTTTCCCCTTTTTTCAGTGTCTCCTTTAAGCATTTACCCTTGTTGCACAAGTATTGCAGTGCCTTAGTTGCTGTCTTCAGGTAATTTAAGAAGAACTGAAGATTTCCAGAGGAAGTCAGATAGCCTTGGTTTCCCTGTACAATTGTCCACCCCACCCAGAGCTTTAGCTATTGTTTCTTTCAACTTTCTGTCTCCTAATCAGATTCTTTTCCCCAAAATAATTAGTAGTTTTAATTTTAGTGCTTTTGGTACAGTTATTCTTTTCCCCGCCTGAGTTTTCAGGTATTGTAACACTTTCAAGTTCATGATTTTGTTCTCAGGTTACTGGAAATCTGACTCTATGATGTATGGTCACTATTCTAAGAAGTACAGAAGAATAATATATGGCCTTTGGTTTTAACTCAGTTACATGTTCAAGATGTAGAATGTTTTGTATGTAAAATGTCTTAAATAGTTGATGGTCTATCAGACAAATGAAGAAGTAAAATGATTATGGGACCCAGAACTTTGAGTTATTGTAACTTGTACAAGTATAATTAGATTAGTTAAAAGGGCGCATTTTACTGAATATAGGTTCTGAGTGATTGAAGCTGCTATCTTATGTATGTATAACTCTACCAGCCTAAGTTATGTAATTCAAGCAACGTGTAGAATGCAGTTATAAAAAACTGCATGATCTACAAAGTTTTTCAGAATTTGCCTTGGTTATTCAGGCTGGTTTCTCTTCCCTTATTCACTCATTATAATAAACAAGCTGGGTCATTCCTATTTCTTCAGACCAGATTGTAACTTAAAGGAAAGGAGGTATGGTTATTTTTGAGGAGTTAGACCAACTATTGATATCTGATTCATTCTTCTGGATATAGTTGGGATTTTGCTTTTGGGTGTAAAATCTATGTTTAAACTACTTTATAACAAGTGGGCAGCATGATTTACATCCTTAAAGATATTTTGATTTTTAAAAAGTATGTTTTCATGTGTTCTTACATATGAATATGTAACTTAGCTCTACATAGCCAACTTAGGCCCTTCGCATATAATTTAGTGAAAGCATTCTCTGGGTTAGGATTTATAAACTGAGGTCCCTGAAACTGTATACAGAATTTATGTGTGTTTGTAAATGTGCATTTTTTTCCAGGGCAGGAGGGGCATAGGTTTCATTAGATTCCTAATAGGATCTATGATATAACCTCCCACCCCCAAAGTCAAGGGGTATAATCATGTTTAGGAAGCTTTATACTCATTGAATTAAAAAAAATTATGTTAGCACCATTGGTGTTGTTTAAGCTTGTTATATATAAATTATACTGAAATCACATAGCTTTTAAGTACCTTAAGTCTTAGGAATGGATACTGAAGCACTAATAAGTAGCCCAAAATCAGTTGCTTTCTTACACTGACTTTTTAAAAAATGGATAATTCCTTTGAGTATACAGGATGGTTACACAACAGTTGTACAGATGGTTTAATGAATGAGTTAATGGAATTTTAATCAGGTGTGTATGCAGGTTGAAAAATCAAGTGCTTCTCTGATGAGAGCTGTGCTTTATTTTGCAAAACCTAAGGGCATTGTATAGAGAACAGAACAGTTTATGGTGCTGCCATCATTAGAAAGTCAGGAGGGGATAGAGATAATTATTTTGGGGAAAAGACTCTGATTAGGAGACAGAAAATTGAAAGAAGCAATAGCTAAAGCTCTGGGTGGGGTGGACAATTGTACAGGAAAACAAAGGCAAAAGTTTTTGAAAAACATCCCTCCCTTAGCAGAGAGGAATCTTAGCACCACTCCTTATTAACTTGCAGTCTCTCTAATAATGCCTTTCATTGGCTCCTGTATTTTACTGCGGCCTTAGGTCAAACAGTGTAAGTGGAGTTATAGTTGAATAAGGACTAAAGACATCAAGGCTCTTGTTTTCATAAATGACCAAATTGATAAGTTTAAAAATATTTTCAAATCATTGAAAAATTTTGCAATTTTATGAAGGTTCTTCTGCATTCTCTCTCTCAATTGGAGCTTTGTTGAATAGAAAATTCATTGTATCTTAAGTGCATATGTTCTGGGAAATAGAAATATGGCTAAAATTAGATTTGGACATAAACATAATCTTTTGCCAATTGGTCTGCAAGAATGCCTTCCTTATTATATTATTGGTCATTTTGTGTGTATGTGTCTGCCTTGTCTCCTTAACAGCATTGTAAAGTTTTTGAAGGGATTGAAAATTTCTTTTAATGTTTTTTTTTTTTTTTAACATCTATACTGGGACCTGGAATAAAACTACTCTCACCCTGTGCCTTGAGCCATTGCCCAGGTCAGGGGTTATATTCATGTTAGGTGTTTAAAAAATCACTGTCACTTTCATATTGCTTGGGTTAAGAAGCTGTTGCTTTAGCAGGTATTTTCTTAGTCTTGCTGGAAGTTGGCTTAGGAGAAAATTGTGATCTTAGCACAATGCAAATGACCTTTTCCAAAGCAGTGGAATTTTATAGGTGTTATTATTTTTTTCTTTGAGAATGTGGTGCCAGTTTTGGAGGGATTATTATTAATCATGTATTAAGTTTATATTTAAAAAAAGATATATATCATTATTAAAGTAAAAACATGAACATTGAAGAAATTTTGGGAAATATCTGAGTGTATAAGATTTTTAAAAGTAACCTATAATCCTTCCTGCCTCCTTAGAAAATGTAGTAGCCTTTAAAGTTGCATCTTCTGGCTTGAACTGGCTAAACCTGAGAACCCATGGGCCAACTAGGAATTTGTATCTGGGCTCAATAGTTAGCATTTTCTGTTAATGCTGAATTTCTTATTTTCCTCTCCCCCTTTTTTTCTGATTTCAGAGAGTTCTTATCTTGATTCTCTGAAATTATCTTTAAGAAGTGAGTTGGTTAGTTAATGGAGTTTGTGTATATGAGTACTTATTTTTCAGATGTGGCTTTCTAATTTTGCACCTTTGTTCTTTTTATGCTAGTTTAACTGATGAAGAGTCCCGGAAAAATTGGGAAGAGTTTGGAAATCCAGATGGGCCTCAAGGTGTGGTAAATGATGATTAAAAAATACTGGGGTTATCATATGTGTATATTATAAAAATGTTAAACTAGATTGAAAAGAATGTTTTGATTTTCTTAGTTTGTGAATAGGAAAATTACAACCACAAGGAGTTAAATATGTAAATTGAGCTCCCTTTAATTTTTACTTTATTCTTCTTTCTAGAGATTGGTTTGAAAGATAGAACTTTGATTGATTTGATGAGGAAAGTAGTCACTGTCATTATTCTTCATTTCCAGTTAGTAGTTGATAAAAATTGGATGGATAAAATCTGTTTTTCTTTACTGACTAAACATTTTCTCATGTATTCATAGTGTTTACATAAACTCAGGACATATAAAAGAATTTAAGTGTTCTGGGAAGAAGGAATTCACATACTTAGAATTTTTTTTTCTTCTGGAAAAATTTAAAGTTTCAAATATAAACCATGTCCATCAACTTTTGTGTAATGGAAACACATAATAAGATAATCTTAAAGCTTTTTTGGAGGGGCTGGGGGAGACAGAATTTGGGGATATAAAGAAAGAAAACTGGAAATGGAGACTCTTCAAAAATATTCTTCCTATTTTAGCCACAAGCTTTGGAATTGCCCTGCCAGCTTGGATAGTTGACCAGAAAAATTCAATTTTGGTGAGTACATTTAAATAAGACACTATAATGTGTTCGATATATCTTGGTAATATATAGAGAGCTTTACAAAGAAAATACTGGTGTGCTGTTTTCAGTTTAGCTGTGTATTGTGAAAACTGTTTTTGCATAATGGAGAAAAGAATCGGTTCCTATTATTAGGTTGTTGGTTTGGGGCAGTGTGTTCTAGTGTAGGGTTCCCCCCACACCCCCGCACTGTTTAAGGAATTCCTTACAGTTGTGATTTCTTGTGGAGGTGGTTTCAGATTGGATCCTACTCTTGGTTTAGGGAACCACTGTTTTTTTATGGTATCTACATTTATCTTATGTAGCGCTCAAAATTTAAGTTATCTTTTATTCCACATTTACCCAGGCTAAATTAATTTTAATGTGTGCTAACATAATGATATATATGGCACTTCAGGAGACAGTAGGATATCAGACTTCAGTCTGTAATATAGAGGCTGCAACTCTTAAAACATCAGGAATTATCCTAACCTATTGTTCAGGAATTCCCTACTTCTCCTTTCTTGAAAATAATTATCTAGGAGCTATCTTTGAAGCAATAAAAAAAATCCATGTTTTATTTTGAAAATGGCTATTTAGTGTTATTTTATGGCTGTTTATTTACATGTTATTTTCCAGGGTATATAGTTGCTGTATATAAGCATGTTTATTATGCTTGGGGTTATTCAGGGAATACTAGAGAAGAGAAAAGATAGTTAGCTACCAGATTTGGGATCAAGCAGTAGGACAGAAATCTAAGACCAATAGATAGAAATTACTTGCAAACAGAACATTATGTGTTCTGCTTGATATTTAGGCAAAGAAACCAGCCTCTACCATTTATTTCGAAGGCACTAACTACTTGCCAAGGTGTGGATATATAATACAGTTGACCCTTGGACAGCCGGGGCTTGAACTGTGGGTCCACTTAATACGTGGATTTTTTTGATAAATACGGACTACAGTACTGTACAATCCATGGTTGGTTGAATCTGCGGATGCAGAGCCACAGGTAATGGGGGGCCAACTCTGAAGTTAGAGTTGGATTTTTCACTGCAAGGAGGTCAGGGAGCCAAGCCCCACATTGTTCAAGGGTCAGCTGAAGTTGGCCCTCCCTTTCGGCATGTTTTGCATCCATGGGTAAAGAGGCCCTACTCTTTTATCACCATTTTATATAAAGGACTTGAGCATCCCTGAATTTTGGTATCCTTGGGGGCCTTAAAACCAGTTCCCCATGGATACCGAGGGATGACTATATATGCTGAAGGTTCCCTATCTGCAAAAGGAAAATAATAATGGTACCTTCCTCTTAGAGTTTGAAAATAAGGATTAAATGAAGTACTGCATGAGGAGTGCTTTTAATAGTGCCTCCCCCATGTAAGCCTCAAAATAAGTGTTCATGGATGTTGTCATAATTTACCTGATGAAGGCCATAATTTTTTCTTTCCTTTTCAATTCAAGGTTTTACTTGTATATGGATTGGCATTCATGGTTATCCTTCCAGTTGTTGTGGTAAGTTCCAGCTCTTTTTATTAACATTTTTTAGGGAAGGGAATCGGTGCATGCTTTGGAGTCTCCTTATAAGATTGTAATTTGTATTAGAATATAATCCATTAATCCTTGAATTTTAAGAATCTTATATTCAGTTATACTTTAAAGGTCTTCTAAAGGTGACATCTCTTTAGTATGTTAAAATGAATCTCCTCCTGATCCAAAAATTACACACAGATGAGATAGTACAGATGTATTTAGAATTTAAAATGAAAATCTTCCGTTACCACCTCCCTCAGCTCCATTTCTCTGTCAGAGATAATCACTGCTAAGTTTGCTTCCTTTTCAGATATTTTTCTATGCATTATGTATATATACACGTGCACATTTTTTAAAAAATGTGATCTTACTATATGTATTGTTCTGTGACTTTTGCTTCATATAGGGGTACAACATGTAGAACAACCTCATTTTTAAAAACAGTTGCATAGTACCTCAATATGGAGGTACCATAAAGTTTATGATTTTATTGTTTATTACTCTTATGACTGGTGGTATTCTTACTGATCTTACGGTTCCTATGGGTCCCATAGTGAGGCTAACAATTAACCTGTCTTGCCTTCTTCATAGGATTGTTGTGTGAGAATCCACTTGTGTGGAATAATGTGAATGAAAGTAGTATATCAACTATAAAATTGCTTCTACGCTTATTTGTCAAATATTTATTGAAGACATGCTGTGTGTGAGGAACCAGCTTGTTGCTTATAGCAGTGGGTTGTTTCATTCCTATTTTGTCTTTAAACAATTTCTAGCTGAAACTTAAATGTTTTAATCATATATATGTAATGAGGTAGGTTGGTGTTTAGGCCTCAGGCAGCATAAATATTTACCAAATAAATCATTTGAAATATGTGACAAAGGCATTTGTTCTAAAGAGCAGGTCTTTTTATTGGTTTATGAACATTTAGAAAATTTGACCATTCTGCATCAAAATTAACATTTATCATGGTTTTTATGCTTTATTTCTGGTTTAATTTTGTGTTTTAGGGCTCTTGGTGGTATCGCTCAATACGCTATAGTGGAGACCAGATTCTAATACGCACAACACAGATTTATACATACTTTGTTTATAAAACCCGAAATATGGATATGAAACGTAAGTAAATTTAAGTAACTGTGATATTAGATTATATTCTGAGTCATTTATGTAGAGTTGATATATATTCAACTGGAGAAATTCCATTTAATAGTTTTAGGGATATTCAGTTCATTATAGCTAAAGCTGGAGGAAAATGCTAACACCCTTTATCATATGTCTTAATCTGTAGTTCTGTTATTCCCATTTTACTCAGCTATGTATATGTATATATCAATACATATTTTTTTCCCTCCAGAAATTTTATGGTAAAACTTCTTGTGGGCTAATTTTGTAATAATACCAGCTAAGATTTCTTGAGTATTTGTCGTTGCCAGGCATTGCTAGCCACTATGCATGTATTAACTCATTTAATCTTTGTATGCCCCCATAAATAAGTGCTGTTTTTAAGCACATTTTATAGATGAAGAAACTGAGCCCAAGGATACACAGTAAGTGACAGAGCTAGGATGGAACTCAGGTAATGTGGTTCCCAAGCCCTAAACCAGTACATACATAAAGCTTTGTTTAGCTGGTGGGTTTGCTTATATATCCTTGGTTTTAGCATTGGCACCATTTATATAGCTGTTGTTTTCATTCAGACATTTGAGGGTAGTAATAGTACTAGCTCACACACATTACTATGCTGACTGTGTGTCAGGCACATATGAAGAAACCGAGGCCCACAGAGCGGTGAAGAATATTGTTCTAGGTCATTCAGCTACGCACTTAACCTCTTTACCGTCCTGCTTTTTGTGAGGATGTTGCATGTATTTTCTGCTGTAAGGTAAGATTGATGACTATAGTGCCAGTCATTAAAGAACTTGTATAGGCCAACGAGAGTAATGCTAATATATGTGACCTCACATCATGTGTATTTCAAGGAACACTATCCCTACAAACCCCTCCAGAGTTCCATAATAAAAATTTCTGCAAATTACAATATATTGTAGTTTACTCAAGGCTCTGAGGAGTCATGAAGTGAAGAAACCTGAAACCCTTTTTAACTCTTATTTCTCAGCTTTATTTAGCCATGGAGTCCCCCCCCCCCCCCCCTTTTTTTTTTACAAAGCAGTTGGTAACATCACATAGAATACTTCCTACTATAAATTTCTGTGGAACACATGCTTAGGTCTAGAAACAGATGCTATTTGTAGTGATTTTAATGCACCTAGTTGCTTCTGGGCCCTTAATTTGATGTGTATTTCTATTTACTTGTGATAGGTAATATTGCACACATTTTAAAAAGTGAGATGTTTCTTTTGTTATGAGAGAGATTAATGCTTATTGATAGTGGAGTTCAGATGATTTTAGCATTGTGTGTGATTGGAAAACTGCCTCACTCTAGGATTAATCAAGTATCATGGGAAGCGGATTAATGGGTGAGCAAATTTATTTTTCTTCATATTTCTTTTGTTTTCTTAGGTCTTATCATGGTCTTGGCTGGAGCCTCTGAGTTTGATCCTCAGTATAACAAGGATGCCACAAGCAGACCAACAGATAATATTCTAATACCTCAGGTTAGGCCTGTCTCCCAAATTCCTTGATAAACATTTAAGTATATAAGGTTAATGCTTTTTTAAGTATACATTTTAAAATAATTATTTTATTTACTCTAGCTAATCAGAGAAATTGGCAGCATTAATTTAAAGAAGAATGAGCCGCCACTTACCTGCCCATATAGCCTGAAGGCCAGAGTTCTTTTACTGTCTCATCTTGCTAGAATGAAAATTCCTGAGACCCTTGAAGAAGGTATTTGTGATTCTAATATCTATAGGGTTTTAGTGGTACAGAAGAGGTGGATTTAATTAGACCTCGTGGTGCAGTGTTTTTTGGTCACTGTTCTTTTTTGCTCAATCAGATAATTACTCAAGGACCTTTTAAAAACAAATCTATATGCTACGTACATAGTTCACAAATTCTTTGAAGGTATTAGTAAGTCAGATGTTTTGGCAAATGTTAAAATGTTGTATTTCAAGGTGAGAGAATACTCTCAATGAAAAATGTTAAGTCAGTTGCAGATTATACAATAATTCCTGATGGCTTTTAAAAAAGGATTTTGTAAGCCTTTTGGGGCAAGGAAAAAATGGATTTTCACAACAGATGTCTCAGTCACTGCCACCAGTACCACCATCATACTCCAGCAGTAGTTACCAATGAAGTGTCTGTTTAATCTTTATTTAAAGCTCATAAGTACTTGAAGCCATCTATTCTACTTAAAAGAAAAGCAGTGGATTGGGACAGTGGTGTTTCTAGGGATGTCATGAATTTGAGTGTCATCTCTTTCCACTTGCATTATTTCAATTGGAAGTTTTAAAAGAAAGTTATTATCCTTAGGGAATTTTCTTTCTGAATGAACCAACCCTCCCCCCACCACTTTAAGCGAATAATGCAATCAAATGCCTTTGAAAACAAGGTCAGTTGATGCTCAGTGATTAATGATAGGATAGGCTGCTTATGATGGACTCAAGGAGCGCTATTTAGGCATTGTTTATTGAAGTTGCAAGTTAACTAGTAATTCTGTTCCTAACGTTCTGTACAGATATGAAACCATCTCCATTTTTACCAATTATCTTAGAATCAGGGAACAGATTTTTTTTTAGGTTGAGTACCAACCCCGATGGATGATCTTAATGGTTAACTATTATATGTAGTATAAATGAAAGTGTCTGTCTCCCTCCTCCTCCTCCTATCCTCCTCTCTCCATTTGGTTGACATTTATTCCCAGTCTTAGTCTTTGGACTTATCCATAATTATAGGAATTTAGGTACACAAGAAGAAGAATTTTGAAGTTCTTAAATTAGTAAGATTATGATTAAATTTAAGATTAAGGCTATTTCCAAAAAAAAAGATAGGGAGTAATTTATAAAGCCCAAGACCATAATATTAAAAGTTTGCCTTTGAAACATCTAATTTGAGGTAGGGTTTTCTGATTGATTTTTGACATAGTGCTGCCGAGGAGAAACGCTTGTAATATTCTGTAATATTCTGAGGTCATGTGAAAAATGTGTGTGACAGCTTAAATTTAGCGTTCGTCTTGGACTACAGGTGATAAAGGTGTTTTAATCATAAAAGAAGAATGATTTGTTTCAGGTGTTTTATTGTTTTGCAGATCAGCAATTTATGCTGAAAAAATGCCCTGCCCTACTTCAAGAAATGGTTAATGTAATCTGCCAACTAATAATAATGGCCCGGAGCCGTGAAGGTGAGGAGGAAGCATAATTATGTTGTACTTTTTCTTGCAAGCACATACAGATTACACTTCATAGTTTTAAGATTTTTGGGTGCTTAGTATAATTCTGTCTGTAAGGTGAATCAGTTTTCCCAGTTTTGTTCATGGTTTTTCTTATTTCTTTCCTGTATTTTTTATTATGTAAAGTATGGTGACTTATGTTCTTTGAATTTAATGTTTCATTGTTTTATTGTTATTTATTGTTTGCAAAGATTTAAAATACCCTTTTCCTTCCTCTGAGTAGTTTTAGAATTAGGTTAACAATGAGTTTGAAGTAATTCTTTAAGTGATGTGATGATGATTCATCTGACATGTAGTGTTTTTTACATAATGGAAAAAAGAACGAGGGAGTTTATTTATGGTCAGTAATGGAAAGAGAGACCCTTAAAAAAGAGATACTGGTTGTGTTTTGTTGTTATGGATGATGTCAGTATGTGCATTTGACCAAGTTTGTGTATTTTCTGTGTCTTACCCAGTAACTTTTAAAGGAAATTCAACACTGTGATCATAAAATTTGAGGTGTTAAGGATGTTCACATGAATTTGTTTTTGTGATGAATTGTGTACTCCTGAACATATAAAAAGTCCAGACCTGTTTTTGCTTTTCTTCTATTCTTTCTAAGAAAGGGAGTTTCGTGCTCCAACTTTGGCATCCCTGGAAAACTGCATGAAGCTTTCCCAGATGGCTGTGCAAGGCCTTCAGCAGTTTAAGTCTCCCCTTCTGCAGCTCCCTCACATTGAAGAAGACAATCTTAGAAGGGTTTCTAATCATAAAAAGGTAATTTGCTACTTTAAAATTAGTTTTAAGCAGTTTGTCCTGTCACTTAAAGGTAACATGAATGAAAATTTTTCTAGAAATGGTTACTGTGACTTAGATTTACAATGTTTTAAACATTCTAAAACTATTCCTCAAGTGATTCTGTTAATACTTTCTTGATTAGGTAGCTGTTTTATAATATTTTACTACTGTAGTGGTTTACTTTGGGGGTCATTGCATTTTAGCAGTCAACACTTTCTTTTTTCTTTATGTTGCCAAAAATAAGCGTACTAAGTAAAAATGCACTGTATACTTTCCATTTATTTCATTTGTGGCTTAAAGGTTGGGCAATAGTTTATTGGTTGAGTCTGAACAAAAAAAATCAAGCATTCAAAAAATAAGTAGATGAAATACAGATAATTCTTATTTAGAAAATACAATCTGTATATAGATTATGATAATGAATCTTAAGATATTTCAGAAATGTAATATAAATGAAAACTTGAGGAAATATAAGAAAAAGTGGAATGAAATTGTAAGTTTGGTAGGAGATTTTAAACATTGCTTTGTATGTATTGATATTAGACAAAGTAGGCAGAAGATAGACATTGGATTTGATAGTGTTAAGGCAGAACTAATAAATACATATTAGAAATTTGCATCAGAGTTCTCTCCTTTCGAGGAAGTGTGTTACTCTTATAAATTTGATCACATTTTAAGTCATAATTGTAAACTTCAGAATTCAAAAGCAGGTATTTCACATGCCTCATGAGCTAATCCCTATCGGTGGAAGTAAAAATTAATAACTGGCACCAAATACTCAGAAATTAAAAAACCCTCTCCTGAGTATCCATTTAGCCAGGCTGGGTTTTACTGCAATAACAGATAGCTGTATTTAGAAAATAACAAAAATGAGAGTATTGCATAGTAAAACTTAAGGGTGCATGCAGCTATTACTTGGACATAAATTCATACTCTTAAAGGTTTTTATCATTAAAATTAAAAATAAAGGTCTGCAAACTGAACAAATCAAATGACAGTCATTCTTGCTTGGGTCAAGAGTTTATATGAATGTTATTATTTTTTTCCTCTAACTTTATTTTTTTCTAATTAAAAAAAAGTAGCTGTGTATTAACTTTGTAATAAAAAAAATTCTTAAATTTCCTTGGAGAAAAAGGCCATGAAATGCAGTGAAGTTGTATTTTCTGCTTTGAAATGTATATAATCTTAACATTTTTCTAAAAGTTTTTGGATTTTGTTTTGGTAAACATGCTAATAATTTTCCTTTTATGTAAAGTTATATGACTTTGGGATTTATTTTCTTTCTCTCTCTTTTTAAATTTAGTACAAAATTAAGACTATCCAGGATTTGGTGAGTTTAAAAGAATCAGATCGTCACAATCTATTGCACTTCCTTGAAGATGAAAAGTATGAAGAGGTTATGGCTGTCCTTGGGAGTTTCCCATATGTGACCATGGACATAAAATCACAGGGTAAGTGGGAGGTTTCCCATTGCTTCCCTTTTGATAGATTGGCTTTTGTTTATTTGGCTCAAGGCCCTCAAAACACTTCATTTAATATGGAAGATGTTGTATACTTATTAGTTTTGAGAACCCTACTTTTATTATCTTCCTAATGGGCTTAGGTTTGAGGATGCTTCTGTTCTGTAGTTCAGCTTTCAAGAAGATCTTAACTTTTCAAAGAATGAAAGAGATTTCTAGATGTAATGAAGGATATTTGAAATATATCTATTGTTAGTATAAGATACCTGCTTAGTTCTAAAATTAATTTTTAAAAGACCTAATTTGTTTATATTAATTAAATCTTGAAAATCACCATGCTCTGTGCCACATTTCATGTGTTTTTCTTGACTTACTTCTGTCTTTGTCTGCTTGGAGTGAAAAAAAATGGAGATTATCTTTCTACCTACATAATTGTCCTGTGAGTTCCCATTTTAGAGCCGAATATAGCATCTTAGTATGGTGACAGAATTAGAGATTATTCTGCTCCATTCCTTCATTGTGACATTGTTCTGAGCTTTGACATTTGCTAAGTTGCCATTGTGAAAACATTCTTGTGGGACCAAGAATACAAGGATGTGTTAGGAATGGTTTCTGTTTTCAAAGGGCTTGTAGTTAAGTTTATTTTATTGTTAGACTTTTGGGGTTGTGTGTGGCAAATGTGGTTTTAAAAAATTACACAATTGCAAAAAATGTTTTTAAAGTGTTTTTTAATATAAACAATATTTTCAAGTTCTTGCCTTAAAATATCTTTACTGTTGCTCAGAATACTAGTTTTAATTATTTTATTCTTACAGGCACGCATTTGTTCATATAGGTAAGATCTTGTGAGTATAAAGTTTGCACAATTTAATAGAGTGACAGAATCCTATTTTTATATCACTGTGAGAGAAAGCTGTTGTAGTCCTAACATACTCTGTTCTAAAAGACTTGGGTTTGAAACTTGGCAGTGTCGATATAGCCATTTTGTGACCTTGGGCATTTTACTTTATTTCTGAACCTCAGTATCTTCTTTAAAGAAATAATAATAATGCTTCATAGAGCTGATTTAAGGATTAAATGGGTACATTGTTGAAGGCATCTACTAGAGAGCTTTTTACAGAGTACGTAGTCAATAAATTATTTTTTATTTAGTAGGTTTAAAACTCTGTATGTTTGAAATACTGAAATAACAGATTGATTTGAATAAGTTGTTTTGCTGTTTGCCTTGACATAGAGCTTGATTTTTATTTATTTATTTTTCTTTTATCTTATAGTATTGGATGATGAAGATAGCAACAACATCACAGTAGGATCCTTAGTTACAGTGTTGGTTAAATTGACAAGGCAAACAATGGCAGTAAGTAGTCTGTAGTTTTATGCTTTAAGAATTATGTGTTAAGGCTTTTATATTCTCTCACTCTAAGTTATACATTCTCAAAGTCAAAACTGTTGTAGATTTGCAAATGTAATTTTGCAGGTTCTGTTAGCTGTTTTGAAATTTTAAATTAATTTTTATAGTTTTCACATTAGTTTTTCACACACACACAGTTGAAAAATACATTAATTCTTCCTCTGATGGTTTGTTAATTCCCTATAAAACATTATAATTACAAGGTCGTGTGGGTATCATTCTTAAATTGTGAAGTGTTATACAGAGATTAATTATTGATTATTGTTGAGAATTTCATTACCTCCTTTTTTTTGAATTTTATTTTTTTATACAGCAGGTTCTTATTAGTTATCTATTTTATACATATTAGTGTATATATGTGAATCCCGATCTCCCAGTTCATCCCACCACCACCAGCACCCCCCCCGCCCGCCACTTTCCCCCACTTGGTGTCCATACGTTTGCTCTCTACATCTGTGTCTCTATTTCTGCCCTGCAAAGCAGTTCATCTGTACCATTATTCTAGGTTCCACATATATGTGTTAATATACGATATTTGTTTTTCTCTTTCTGACTTACTTCACTCTGTATGACACTCTGTAGATCCATCCACGTCTCAAAAATGACCCAATTTCGTTCCTTTTTATGGCTTAGTAATATTCCATTGTATATATGTACCACATTTTCTTTATCCATTCGTCTGTCGATGGGCATTTAGGTTGCTTCCATGTGGCTATTGTAAATAGTGCTGCAATGAACATTGGGGTGGATGTGTCTTTTTGAATTATGGTTTTCTCTGGGTATATGCCCAGTAGTGGGATTGCTGGGTCATATGGTGATTCTATTTTTAGTTTTTTAAGGAACCTCCATACTGTTCTCCATAGTGGCTGTATCAATTTACACTCCCACCAAGAGTACAAGAGGGTTCCCTTTTCTCAACACCCTCTCCAGCATTTGTTGTTTGTAGATTTTCTGATAATGCCCATTCTTACTGGTGTGAGGTAATACCTCACTGTAGTTTTGATTGGCATTTCTCTAATGATGTTGAGCATGTTTTAATGTGCTTCTTGGCCATCTGTATGTTTTCTTTGGAGAAATGTCTGTTTAGGTCTTCTGCCCCTTTTTTTTTGGTGGTACGCGGGCCTCTCACTGTTGTGGCCTCTCCTGTTTTGGAGCACAGGCTCCGGATGCGCAGGCTTAGCGACCATGGCTCACGGGCCTAGCCGCTCCGCGGCACGTGGGATCTTCCCGGACTGGGGCACAAACCCGTGTCCCCCGCATCAGTAGGCAGACTCTCAACCACTGCGCTACCAGGGAAGCCCCTGCACATTTTTTGATTGGGTTGTTTGTTTTTTAATATTGAGCTGCATGAGCTGTTTATATATTTTGGAGATTAATCCTTTGTCCGTTGATTCATTTGCCAATATTTTCTCCCATTCTGAGGGTTGTCTTTTTGTCTTGTTTGTCGTTTCCTTTGCTTTGCAAAAGCTTTTAAGTTTCATTAGATCCCATTTGTTTATTTTTGTTTTTATTTCCATTACTCTAGGAGGTGAATCAGAAAAGATCTTGCTGTGATTTATGTCAAAGAGTGTTCTTCCTATGTTTTCCTCTAAGAGTTTTATAGTGTCCAGTCTTACATTTAGGTCTCGAATCGATTTTGAGTTTATTTTTGTGTATGGTGTTAGGGAGTGTTCTAATTTCATTCTTTTATGTGTAGCTGTCCAGTTTTCCCAGCACCACTTATTGAAGAGACTGTCTTTTCTCCATTGTATATCCTTGCCTCGTTTGTCATAGATCAGTTGACTATAGGTGTGTGGGTTTATCTCTGGGCTTTCTATCCTGTTCCATTGATATATATTTCTGTTTTTGTGCCAGTACCGTATTGTCTTGATTACTGTAGCTTTGTAGTACAGTCTGAAGTCAGGGAATCTGATTCCTCTAGCTCCGTTTTTTTCCCTCAAGACTGCTCTGGCTACTTGGGGTCTTTTGTGTCTCCATACAAATTTTAAGATTTTTTGTTCTAGTTCTGTAAAAAATGTCACTGGTAATTTAATAGGGATTACATTGAATCTGTAGATTGCTTTGGGGTGTATAGTCATTTTCACAATATTGATTCTTCCACTCCAAGAACATGGTATCTCTCTCCATCTGATTGTGTCATCTTTGATTTCTTTCATCAGTGTCTTATAGTTTTCTGAGTACAGGTACAGGTCTTTTGTCTCCCTAGGTAGGTTTATTCCTAGGTATTTTATTCTTTTTGTTGCAGTGGTGAATGGGATTGTTTCCTTAATTTCTCTTTCTGATCTTTTGTTATTAGTGTATAGGAATGCAAGAGATTTCTGTGCATTAATTTTGTATCCTGCAGCTTTACCAAATTCATTGATTAGCTCTAGCAGTTTTCTGGTGGCATCTTTAGGATTCTCTATGTATAGTATCATGTCATCTGCAAATAGTGACAGTTTTACTTCTTCTTTTCCAATTTGTATTCCTTTTATTCCTTTTTCTTCTCTGATTGCCGTGGCTAGGACTTCCAAAACTATTTTGAATAATAGTGGTGAGAGTGGACATCCTTGTCTTGTTCCTGATCTTAGAGGAAATGCTTTCAGTTTTTCAGCATTGAGAATGATGTTTGCTGTGGGTTTGTCGTATATGGCCTTTATTATGTTGAGGTAGGTTCCCTCTATGCCCACTTTCTGGAGAGTTTTTATCATAAATGGGTGTTGAATTTTGTCAAAAGCTTTTTCTGCATCTATTGAGATGATCATATGGTTTTTATTCTTCAGTTTGTTAATATGATGTATCACATTGATTGATTTGCATATATTGAAGAATCCTTGCATCCCTGGGATAAATCCCACTTGATCATGGTGTATGATCCTTTTAATGTGTTGTTGGATTCTGTTTGCCAGTATTTTGTTGAGGATTTTTACATCTATATTCATCACTCATACTGGTCTGTAATTTTCTTTTTTTGTAGTATCTTTGTCTGGTTTTGGTATCAGGGTGATGGTGGCCTCATAGAATGAGTTTGGGAATGTTCCTTCCTCTGCAATTTTTTGGAAGAGTTTGAGAAGGATGGGTGTTTAGCTGTTCTCTAAATGTTTAATAGAATTCACCTGTGAAGCCATCTGGTCCTGAACTTTTGTTTGTTGGAAGATTTTTAATCACAGTTTCAATTTCATTACTTATGATTGGTATGTTCATATTTTCTATTCCTGGTTCAGTCTTGCAAGGTTATACCTTTCTAAGAATTTGTCCATTTCTTCCAGGTTGTCCATTTTATTGGCATAGAGTTGCTTGTAGTAGTTTCTTAGGATACTTTGTATTTCTGAGGTGTCCGTTGTAACTTCTCCTTTTTCATTTGTAATTTTACTGATTTGAGTCCTCTCCCTCTTTTTGTTGATGAGTCTGGCTAATGGTTTATCAATTTTGATTACTTTCTCAAAAAACAAGCTTTTAGTTTTATTGATCTTTGCTATTGTTTTCTTTGTTTCTATTTCAGTTATTTCTGCTCTGATCTTTATGATTTCTTTCCTTCTACTAACTTTGGGTTTTCTTTGTTCTTCTTTCTCTAGTTCCTTTAGGTGTAAGGTTAGATTGTTTATATTTGAGATTTTTCTTGTTTCTTGAGGTAGGCTTGTATAGCTATAAACTTCCCTCTTAGAACTGCTTTTGCTGCGTCCCATAGGTTTTGGATCATCGTGTTTTCATTGTCATTTGTCTCTAGGTATTTTTTGATTTCCTCTTTGATTTCTTCGGTGATCTCTTGGTTATTTAGTAATGTATTGTTTAACCTCTACGTGTTTGTGTTTTTTCCGTTTTTTTCCGTTATGGATTTCTAATCTCAAAGCATTGTGGTCAGAAAAGATGCTTGATATGATTTCAGTTTTCTTAAATTTACTGAGGCTTGATTTATGACCCAAGATGTGATCTATCCTGGAGAATGTTCCGTGTGCACTTGAGAAGAAAGTGCAATCTGCTGTTTTTGGATGGAATGTCCTATAAATATCAATTAAATCTATCTGGTCTATTGTGTCATTTAAAGCTTGTGTTTCCTTATTAATTTTCTGTTTGGATGATCTGTCCATTGGTGTAAGTGAGGTGTTAAAGTCCCCCACTGTTACTGTGTTACTGTCGATTTCCTCTTTTATAGCTGTTAGCAGTTGCCTTATGTATTGAGGTGCTCCTGTGTTGGATGCATATATAATTATAATTGTTATATCTTCTTCTTGGATTGATCCCTTGATCATTATGTAGTGCCCTTCCTTGTCTCTTGTAATGTTTATTTTAAAGTCTATTTTATCTGATATGAGTATTGCTACTCCAGCTTTCTTTTTTTTTGTTCCCGTACGTGGGCGTCTCACTGCTGTGGCCTCTCCCGCTGCCGGAGCACAGGCTCCGGACGCACAGGCCCAGCGGCCATGGCTCACGGGCCCAGCTGCTCCGCGGCATGTGGGATCCTCCCGGACCGGGGCACAAACCCACATCCCCTGCATCAGCAGGCAGACTCTCAACCACTGCGCCACCAGGGAAGCCCTCCAGCTTTCTTTTGATTTCTGTTTGCATATCTTTTTCCATCCCCTCACTTTCAGTCTGTATGCGTCCCTAGGTCTGAAGTGGGTCTCTTGTAGACCGCACATATATGAGTCCTGTTTTTGTATCCATTCAGTGATCCTATGTCTTTTGGTTGGAGCATTTAGTCCATTCACGTTTAAGGTAATTATCGATATGTATGTTCCTCTGACCATTTTCTTAATTGTTTTGGGTTTGTTTTTGTAGGTCCTTTTCTTCTCTTGTGTTTCCCACTTAGGGAAGTTCCTTTAGCATTTGTTGTAGAGATGGTTTGGTGGTGCTGAATTCTCTTAGCTTTTGCTTATCTGTAAAACTTTTGATTTCTCTGTCGAATCTGAATGAGATCCTTGCTGGGTAGAGTCATCTTGGTTTTAAGTTCTTCCCGTTTATCACTTTAAATATATCATGACACTCCCTTCTGGCTTGTAGAGTTTCTGCTGAGAAATCAGTTGTTAACCTTATGGGAGTTCCCTTGTATGTTATTTGTCATTTTTCCCTTGTTGCTTTCAGTAATTTTTCTTTGTCTTTCATTTTTGTCAATTTGATTACTTTGTGTCTCGGCGTGTTTCTCATTGGGTTTATCCTGCCTGGGACTCTCTGCACTTCCTGGACTTGGGTGGCTATTTCCTTTCCCACGTTAGGGAAGTTTTCAACTATAATCTGTTCAAATATTTTCTCGAGTCCTTTCTCTCTCTCTTCTCCTTCGGGGACCCCTGTAATGCGAATGTTGTCCCATTTAATGTTGTCCCACAGGTCTCTTAGGCTGCCTTCATTTCTTTTCATTCTTTTTTCTTTATTCTGTTCTGCTGCAGTGAATTCCACCATTCTGTCTTCCAGGTCACTTATCCGTTCTTCTGCCTCAGTTATTCTGCTATTGATTCCTTCAAGTGTATTCTTCATTTTAGTTATTGTATTGTTCATCTCTGTTTGTTCTTTAATTCTTCTAGGTGTTTGTTCTTTAGTTCTTCTAGGTCTTTGTTAAACATTTCTTGCATCTGCTCAATCTTTGCCTCCATTCTTTGTCCAAGGTCCTGGATCATCTTCACTATCATTATTCTGAATTCTTTTTCTGGAAGGTTGCCTATCTCCACTTTATTTAGTTGTTTTTCTGGGGTTTAATCTTGTTCCTTCATGTGGTACAAAGTCCTCTGCCCTATCATTTTGTCTGTCTTACTGTGAAGGTGGTTTTCCTTCCACAGGCTGCAGCATTGTAGTTCTTCTTGCTTCTGCTGTCTGCCCTCTACCTGCTTCTTTTTAGTCAATTCTTGAGAATGTACTCCCTTTTATTTTTATTTTAAAAAGTACAGTAAAATTAGCTTTTTTTCCCTAATTATGTGAAAAATTCATGCTGTGTGGGGAAAAAAATTTAGGCAATGCAGAAAAGTATAGGAAGAAATTAAAATCACCTAAAATTCTACCACTCTGAGATCATCAGTTTTGAAGCTCATACCTTTAGCTAGCCTAAAGCATGAATACCCACAGAGTTAAATGATATTTTTATCATGGATCCCTTATCTCACTCCTGCTCCCTCAGGAAACCTCCTTGTCATACCCAGATGACCAGAATTCAGTCTTGTGTAAATCTTTTTGTACCTTTCTCCATGCTCATGTTTACTATCTGGACCTTTTCAGTACGTATATGTACATGCATGTATATGTATACTGGTAGTTTTCTCATTCTTTTTCATTAAATCCAGTCATAATGTATATGTTTCCTGCATCTTGTTTTTCTCAGTTTCTGTTACATATTTATATTACCTCCCAAGCCAAGTATAACTCCCAAGTTTCAACTACAGTTGTAACTCATTTTTAATAGACTGTAGTATTTCAGCTCAGTTTTATTCAGCCAGTGGTAGATTTTAGCCTATTCTACTCTGAGATCTATTGGCATCTGTAGGAAACCTATGCTACCTTTTTTTTTGTTTGTTTGTTTTGTTTTTATTTTGTTTTGTGTGTGTTTTTTTTGCGGTATGCGGGCCTCTCACCGCTGTGGCCTCTCCTGCTGCGGAGCACAGGCTCCGGATGCACAGGCCCAGTGGCCATGGCTCACGGGCCTAGCCGCTCCATGGCATGTGGGATCCTCCCAGACCGGGTCACGAACCTGTGTCCCCTGAATTGGCAGGCGGACTGTCAACCACTGTGCCAGCAGGGAAGCCCACCTATGCTACCTTTAAAACCCATGTCTAGAACCTCTGGTAGGAAAAGCATATTTTGTAGTAGGACATATCAAATCAAAGATACTGATTTTATGGTAGCAAGTGGTAAGGAAGCATTTGTATCATGGACTCTGAATGAGAGGTGCCTCCTGGGAGAAGAGGAAGCTCTAAGCCAGTGGCCAGGATTGGGTTTAGAATCTAGACTTACACTGCCTACAGGCTTTGAAATTCCCAACCTGAGAAATGAGCACAAAATTGGCCTTGGGCTGTTGACACTTCTCAGGTAATTAGTAAAAGAAAAAGCAAAAGTGCCCTGGAGGAAGGGAAAGAATCAAGTATTTATCTTTCAGTTCTTGCATTAGTTGTATCTCAGCATAATTAAGCATTAGAACCCAACTAATAAGTGAAGAAATGAAGTAGAGATAATAGAATTAGGCTAGAGGCTGGCAGACTTTTTCCATAAAGGTCCAGTTATTAAATAATATGTTCAGGACTTCCCTGGTGGCACAGTGGTTAAGAATCCACCTGGTAATGCGGGGGAAATGGGTTCGAGCCCTGGTCCAGGAAGATCCCACATGCTGCGAAGCAAATAAGCCCGTGAGCCACAACTACTGAGCCTGCACTCTAGGGCCCACGAGCCACAACTGCTGAAGCCCGCGCGCCTCGAGCCCATTGTCCATAACAAAAGAAGCCACAGCAATGAGAAGCCCGCGCACCAAAACAAAGAGTAACCCCCGCCCACCACATCTAGAGGAAGCCTGCGCATAGCAACGAAGACCCAACGCAGCCAAAAATAAATTAATTAATTAAAAATATTGATATGTTCGGTTTTTACAGGCCATACAGTCTCTGTAGCAACTGCTGAACTCACAAATGGGCCTAGTTGTGTTCTAATAAAACTTTGTTTAAAAAGCAGACAGTGAGCCGTAGTTTGCTGACTGATGCATTAGGCCAACAGTTTGAGCCCAACAGTTATTGTTTTCACTTGTTAGTTTTAATAATTCTAGGGAGTTTATGAAACACAACCCATATCACTTGTCATCTTCTAGTATAGATTCTTGCTAAATTCTTATTGGATTTCAAATCCTAAATTTATAGCTTCTGTACTGATTCTAAATGGATTATTTGGTGGGTGGGTATGTCTTTAGGATATGCAGATTTGGTGTTCCACTTCTTAGTTATATTTAAGTTATATCAGTTATATCAACAATATCACTTAAAATCATAAATAAACTAATATTGGTCTCATGAAGTTTTAATGTTAGAGAATAATGTAATATATTCAAATTCTCATAACTTTAAAATAGTCATGTCTTATTACTATTAGAATAAAAGTAAAAATTTAAATTATGAAATATGACTCACTTATCATGAGTTTACATATTTTAAGGCATTGCATTTATAAATTTAAGTAGAATGTACTTCTCAAAATATATTCAAGACAGATGTGAGATATTTCAGAAGGTAACTTCTAAAGCATCATTTAGTGATTGCTAAATTTGCACACATACATCATTTAGTAATTGCTTCGAGTCTCCTGTCTATCCATGGTTTTGTCCCCACCCCCTGCAATTGTCAGCAGTTAAAAAACTTACTGATAACATATATTGAACGATTGCTTTATCAGAAAGATAAATATAGGTTGACAGACTTTATATTTTTCTTCTCGCTACCTGTAGGAAGTATTTGAAAAGGAGCAGTCCATCTGTGCTGCAGAGGAACAGCCAGCAGAAGATGGGGTAAAAACTTCAGTTTTCCTATCTATCTTTCATGGTGAAATAACTGTTTTGTTTAGTTCTCTGATTGATTTATATTGCTGTGGGAGAGTAATTCACTTTACTACAACATTTATTAGTTTAGTCATTTCCATCTAAAATTTACTATGACTTCCAAATGAAACTAGTGCTACAACTTCTGAGTGTGCATGTGTGTTGTGATTTACAGCAGGGTGATACTAACAAGAACAGAACAAAAGGAGGATGGCAACAGAAGAGTAAAGGACCCAAGAAAACTGCTAAATCAAAAAAAAAGAAACCTTTAAAAAAAAAACCTACACCTGTGCCCTTATCACAACCAAAGCAACAGAAACAAAAGCAGGCTAATGGAGTCGTTGGGAGTGTAAGTTTACTATCTTATGTAAAGATTATTTTTATTATCATCTTTATTGAGGTCTAACATACACTAAAATGTTCAAATCTTTTTTTTTTTTTTTTTTTTTTTTTTTTGCGCGGTACGTGGGCCTCTCACTGTTGTGGCCTCTCCCGTTGCGGAGCACAGGCACCGGACGTGCAGGCTCAGCGGCCATGGCTCACGGGCCTAGCCACTCCGCGGCATGTGGGATCTTCCCGGACTGGGGCACGAACCCGTGTCCCCTGCATTGGCAGGCGGACTCTCAACCACTGCGCCACCAGGGAAGCCCCTAAAATGTTCAAATCTTATGTGTACAGCTCCTGAAGTTTTACAATTGTGTGTACCCATGATACCCAGATCAAGATATAAAACCTTACCAGCACCCTAAAAGGCTCTCTTGTACCCTTCTCAGTCAGTGACCCCTCCATCCACCCCCACGGCCTTCCCCACTATTCTGACTGTTAGGACCATAGATTAGTTTTGCCTGTTCTTAAAATTCCTGTAAGTGGAATTGTTTGGCTGCTTTCATTCAACATAGTGTCTTTGACATTCATCTGTACAGTGTGTAGCAGCAGCTGTGTGTGTGTGTGTGTGTGTGTGTGTGTGTGTGAGAGTGAGAGAGAGAGAGAGAGAGAGAGAGAGAGAGAGAGAGAGAGATTCCATTATATGAATATACCACAATTTATCTGTTCTGTGATTGGTGGACATTATGGGTTTTTCTAGTTTTTGCCTATTCTGAATAAAGATGTTCTGCTTTTGTACATGTCATTTTGTGGACATTCATTTTTCTTGGGTATGTACCTAGCAGTGGAATTGCTGGGTCGTAAAATAGGTGTATGTTTAACTTGTTGAAAGAGCCCATTTTCTGAAGTTGTACCATTTTTTGGTCCTACCAGCAAAATATGAGTCCCGTTCCACCCTCACCAATACTTGGTTTTACCGTTCTTTTTTATTTTAGCCACTGTGATGGATTTGTGGTGGTATCTGTGTGTGTGTGTGTGTGTGTGTGTGTGTGTGTTTCCTGTGTGTGGTTTTATTTACCTGATGACTAATGATATTGAGCACCTTTTCATGTACATACTGGCCATTTGGATATCCTCTTTTATTTTGGGGTTGTTTTTCTTCTTATGGATTTGTAGGATTCCTTTATGTATCCTGGATATGAGCCCCTTTTAGCTCTCTTAATGGAGCTTTTGATGGTTCTTAATTTTAATAAAGTCTGTTTCATCAGTCTTTATGGTTAGTGCTTTCGTGTCCTGTTAGAGACATCTTTGCCTATCCCAAGGACACAAGGAATGGAAGAATGTTTTTGTTTTCTTCTATGAGTATTATTATTTTACTTGTTAAATTTAGCTCTGTGTTATATCTTAAATTTTTGTGAATAGTGTGAGATTGGGATTATGGACCACTTATTTTAGCACCATTTATTGGAAAGATCATTCTTTCCTCTCTGAATTGCAATAGTGATTTGTTGTAAAAAAGTTGCCATTAAGTGTATATGTGCAAATCTGTTTATGGACTTTCTAGTCCATTCCACTGATTATTTGTCTCTTCTTGTGCCAGTACCACACTGTCTTAATTATTGTGGCTTTATTTTAACTCTTAAAATATGGTCATGTAAGTCCTCAAACTCTTATTTTACTTCTTCAAAATTGTCTTGACTATTTTAGGTCCTTTGCATTTCCAGCTAAAATTTTAGAATAAGCTTGAGAATTTCCACCCAAAAAAAGCTGCTGGAATTCAGATTGGTATTGTGTTTACTCTGTGGTTCAGTATGGGAGGAATTCACAGGTTAACAGTATTGACTCTTTTTATTCATAATTATGCTTTATCTTTATTAACTGGATCTTCCTTAATTTTTCTCAGCAGTGTTTTGTGATTTCCATTGGCAGAGGATATGACACATCTTTCATTAGATTTACTCCTGTGTGTTTGATCCTTTCTAGTGCTATTGCAAATAACATTAAAAAAATTCATTCTTCAGTGTTTTTTGCTGGTGTATAGAAGTGTAGTTGCCTTCTAAATATTACCTTATATCAAGGATTCTTGATGAATTGACAGTAATTCTAACTATTTGTAGGTATTTAAATAAAAAGATTTTCTACATACACAATCATGCCATCTGGGAATAAAGACAGCTTTACTTTAATCTTTATGTGGTTTCTTCCTTTCTGCCTTACTGTACTGGCTAGAACTTTCAATGTAATGTTGATTAGAAGTAGAAGTGAAGATAGCAGTCACCCTTTTCTTATTGTTGATCTCATGGAGAAAGCAAACATTATTTCACCACTAAGTATGATGTTAGGTATAGGGTTTTTATAGATATTCTCTATCAGGTTAAGGAGGTGTTCCCTCTATTCCCAGTTTGGTTTTTTATCATGAGATGATTGTATGATTTTTCTCCTTTCTGTTAATGTGACTAATTATACTGATGAATTAAAAAAATTTAAACTGTCCTTGTATTCCTGGAACAAATCTCATTTGCTCATAACATAGTATTTTTAAAATATTTATCTGGATTTAGTAATATTTTGTTTAGGATTCCTGCATCTATTTTTATGAGAGAATATTGGTTTGTCATTCTTCTTTCTTGTAATATTCTTGTGGCGTTTTGGATCACGTTTATGCTGGCCTCATTAAACAAGTTAGGGATTATTCTCTCTTTCTTTTTTCTGAAAGGGTGTATAAGATTGGGTTGTTTCTTATTTGGAAGAATTACCTAGAGAAGCCATATGGGCTTGGAGTTTGAAAAAGGATTTAATTGTAGAGTCCATTTATTTAACATATTCCACTTTTTTTCTTATATCAGTTTTAGTAAATTGTGTTTTTCAAGGACTTTGTCCATTTCCTCTAAGTTGTCAAATTTATTGACAAAGTTATTCATAATATCCTTATTTTTAATGTCTTTTGGATCTGTAGTTATGTCTCTTTTATTCCTAATATTGGTAATCTGTATTGTCTCTTTTTTTCTTTGATCAGTCTTGCCTAATAAAATTTATCAATTTCATTAATCTTTTTAAAGAACCAATGTTTGGTTTTGTTTGGGTTTCCCTTTTGCATATCTGCTTTCTCTTTAATTGAATTCTGATCTGTATTATTCACTACTACTTTCATTGCATTTAATTTGCTATTCTTTTTCTTCTTGAAATGGATTTTGTCTGGGACAGTGACTTTCCTTACTGCATTATACTCCTTATTGAAGATGATATTAAATTCCCAAAGCAGTACTATAAACTTCTCATTTCTTCTTCTCAAATAAAATATATTGTATAATTGGTGTTTGTGAAAGATGAGCCATCTTAGCCATTGTGGTAGTATATTTTGTGAATAGAAATAAAATATTTTTGTTTTACAAACTATGAAGACTGAATAAAATAACTGACAAAAAGACAAATAAGCCAAATGTTAAAAGTCTTCAGTCTGACTCCCACATATTTATACATAAAAATGTTTATAGTTCTCTAAAATTCTGCATGAATAGTGAAATTGTAATCTTGAGCCAGTTTAATTATAATGACAGTAAATTAGTTTCAGGGACTCAGAATGGTATATTCATTGAGATATTCAGAGCTTTTGTGGTTGCTTTTTCCTTTTAGGAAGCTGCAGTAAAGGAAGATGAAGAAGAAGTTTCTGACAAAGGCAGTGACTCTGAGGAAGAAGAAACCAATAGAGACTCTCAAAGTGAAAAAGATGATGGTAGTGACAGAGACTCTGATAGAGAGCAAGATGAAAAACAAAGCAAGGATGATGAAGCAGTAAGACTTATAAGTTTAAATAATTGGAGTTATACCTCTGATGATAGTTTTGGTTTCTATTGTTGTTTTTCCTTTGCTTGCTTACTTTTTTTGCTTGTCTTAAGCAATACCAGTATATTTTATAATCTTATATTACTTTTACAGAATGTTTTTGAGGGATGGTAGTTGTAATTATAAAGAAAAATTATTTCTAACAACATTGGAAATCCTAATTTTCTTAAATCTTAAATTGTTAGATGGGGTAGGACCTGGGTCTGAGGTGAAGTCAGTTTGTTCTCTTAAGGCAGTTTTCTGTGTTATCTGGAAATATGAGTAAGGAAAGGTGGATTATGAAATAGGTAGCAGTTACTTGGAAGAGGATCTCAAAAGTTCCAGGAAATGTTTAGGGTGAAGAAACATTACTGTGGGCTGTAACGCCAAGAAGTTGGTTAAGGTAAAAGCTGACATTTACGGAATGCCACCTCGTTTCAAGAGGTATATAAGACATTAAGGAAAGGGCTGTCACTAAGGAATTAAGATTGTGAGGGTAAAGGGAATAGAAAAAAATCTCGTGGCATGGCATTAAGTTGCACATGATTTATGAGAAAGCTGTAGAAAAGAATATTTGGTGGACAAATAACGGTCCTTAGAGGCTAACTGTAAATTAACTGTAACCTGATCAGCCATATTCTTTATGTTTGTGGTGTTCATGACTGGGCCATTGATCTAAAAGTAACCCTTATGGTTTAGGAATTTAAAAGAGATTCCCTGAACAGCCTCTGAAGCAAAAGCAGAGGCCAAAAAAAGGAAAAAGTAAAAGGGCAAAGGATAAAGGTATACAGAAATAATGTACTTGCCCTTGGGAATGGTGGGAGAAAAATAAGGATGACTGTTTTTAGCAGTTGCTGGCCCTTGAGTGTTTTTTACTTTGATAATTAAGTTGATTGCCAGGAAATTAAAACCTATCAAAGAAATTATTCCCCCACCCTTGTTTTGAGAAAGAGTTGACATATTTCTTTCTGACTGTATTAGAGTTAGTAGAGGTGACTAGGTTAGTAGGGTTTTGATAAACTAGTTTCTTCAGATGACCAAGAAATACGTTCATTCAATTGACAAATAATTATACAAATAACAAATAATTACTCATTATCTGTCACACTGCAAGCACTGTGTTAGATGATAGGAATGCAAAGCCAAACGTGCAATAGTTTCTGCCCTTGAATGATAGTAGCCTGATGGAGAAGGCAGACTTGTAAGTAAGCATTATAGTACCAAAGAGACTATGCACGTTGTGCAAGGGGCAGTGATGGCACAAAGGGAGGAGTGATCAACTCAGCTCTGGGGTAGAGGACGATTTGTGGGACTCAGGAACTCATACTTTAGACTTCAGCTGCTCCTGAAAGAATAATGAGTAGGAATTTAACAGGTAGAGAAAAAAGAAAACAAAAATCTAAACAGGGTTTAGGAGGAGTGAAATAGCTGGTGAGGTCAGAGAAGGCTAGGTCGTTGGAAATGACTAGAAGAAAAAGTGCAGGGAGGAAAACAGTGATAGGAGACTGGAGAGACAGGTCCAGATCAGGTCATGATTGGCTGTGTAGTTCATACTAGACGGGTTAGAGTTGATTTATGAAAAGAAGCATTGTAAGTCTGGGGCAGGGAAATGATCAGATCTGTGGGACTGAACTCAGTAGTAGTTAGCGTTGTCAGGAATAACATCGGGAAGAAGACGGACACCCCTCAAAATGATTGAAAACATGCTTGATTTCAAAGATTTAATTTTCACTTTACAGGAGTGGCAAGAATTACAACAAAGTATACAGCGAAAGGAGCGAGCTCTGCTGGAAACCAAATCAAAGATAACACATCCTGTTTATAGTCTTTACTTTCCTGAGGTGAGTTATACACAGCCTAGTGTTTTCCTTATTCTATTCAGATATTTCTTAGTTGCTTTTTAATCTCTCTGTGGTGTGTATTGGCTCAAACGTGCTGAATGTGGTCTGTTCTTGATAGACCACATTTTTGAAGGCTATATTTCAACGTAAATCATTTTTAGTGAATGTGTTGTTTAAAAGGAGGGTTGTTAACTTTTTAAGTACTTCTGTCTTTTCTGCGCCCAGATTACTGAGAGTTGTGCTTAATGATGATTTTTCATTAGCAGTTCAGGCAGTCCTAGTTGGACAAATGCATATTTTGCTTATGACTGTATGGCTGTTATGAATCTCACAATTCTGTCATGTTTTAAATAGGATGAAAATGTTCTTAAATTTTCCCCATGGTTTTTCTCTGAGGGTTCTCTACTGGCCACCTGTAGCCACTAGACTTGCTCCGATAATTGCCCTGGTCCATGGGAAGAGGCAAGCCCATGGCTGAGGGACCCACTAAGTTCAGTAGGAGCCGATCCCCAAGCTCAGGAAAGATCATGGCAGTGCTGTTTGTTCCCTTGTGCTTGTTTATGTTGTGACTGTGGCCTGTTCAACTTTTGATCTCTTTGATACGCTATGTTGTTTGTCTTTCAGATGAATTTGGGATCTGCTTGATGTATTGCATTTGTGGATGATTTTGTCTGTGGCTAGAGATCAAGGACTGGTTGCCTCTTAGTTTAGCGAAGCTGTTCCGTAGACTGCCTTGCAGCTTTGCCACAGAACCTTGTGCTTACCACTCATGTTTGGCAGGTGATTTCATGTATAAATCTGCTTTCTGCTCTAGAACATCAATCTCTAGTTGCTGGGGGCTGCTGAAGGCAAATTCCTAAGTGATTTGGCTCTCCTAATAATAAATGAGTGGCTCTGCACAGACTTTTGTTTTGACTTGGAGAGAAGTCAGCCCAGGATTCCATCTTACTGTGTGCACTGATCTTCTGGCATGTCCTGAGCTATAGCCCATCTGTTAGGGGCATTTTGCCCATTGCAGTGTAGTCTGCCAACACCAAAGCTCCTGAAATCAAGCGAATAAATTCCACTCATTGATTGGTTTTAAAAGTACCATGGGGGCTTCCCTGGTGGCGCAGTGGTTGAGAGTCTGCCTGCCGATGCTGGGGACACGGGTTCGTGCCCCGGTCTGGGAAGATCCCACATGCCGTGGAGCAGCTGGGCCTGTGAGCCATGGCCGCTGAGCCTGCGCGTCCGGAGCCTGTGCTCCACAATGGGAGAGGCCACAACAGTGAGAGGCCCACGTACCGCAAAAAAAAAAAAGGTACCATGGGATGCTGTAAGCTGCATAATTTGTACCCTTATAATAGACAGCTTCATTTTAGACCATGCTTAGTTACTAAGCAAAGCATTCATTTACTCCCTTAGAACATTTTAGCAGTGAAAATGCCTTCTTGTAATTTCATCTACATGGTAAATATCTCAAAGTGTCATTTATCAGATAAACTTTATTTAGGATTTTCCTAACATCTACCTGTCTACCTTCCCATGTACCTACCTAACCACCATACTACCCACTTAAATTACTTAAAGTTTTATGTTAATAATTGACTTACATGTTAATTGCAGCTCATATGTTTAATAAGTTAAGAATGGTTGGGAATCTCACACAACAGAAACAGTTTTGTTTAAAGTGCAAATAACTCATGGTAGAACATCTTTTCCACTTTCACCGTGTGCATCAAGAGAGCGTAGGTGCAGTGCCATAGATTGATAGTCACTAGCTTCTTTTTTTTTTTTACACAACAGATCTGCTCTTTTTTTTTTTTAATTTTCTTTTATTTATTTATTTATTTAGGCTGCATTGGGTCTTTGTTGCTGTATGTGGGCTTTCTCTAGTTGCGGCGAGCAGGGACTACTCTCTGTTGAGTTGCGTGGGCTTCTCATTGCTGGGGCTTCCCTTGATGCGGAGAACGAGCTCTAGACACGTGGGCCTCAGTAGTTGTGGCTCGCAGGCTCTAGAGTGCAGGCTCAGTAGTTGTGGCACACGGGCTTAGTTGCTCCACCGCATGTGGGATTTTCCCAGACCAGGGCTCAAACCTGTGTCCCCTGCATTGGCAGGTGGATTCTTAACCACTGCGCCACCAGGGAAGTCCCAGATAGTCACTAGCTTCTTAATAAATAGTATTCTTGAGTGAATCTCATTTTAATCAAATAGCGTGCATGGGAGGTGGAGGGTGGGAGGCATTCTCTAAGTGGAGATAAAGAATAAATGCACATTTTGAATATACCCCTCTGCTTCTCATATTAATACATGTTCTGGTAATTATATTTCTGATAATGAAATGTCAGACCACTTAAATAGTAGAGATGTTTACCTCATTTCATTAATAATCATAACTTTAAAAATTATTATTGATATATAGTTGAAATACAACATCACATTAGTTTCAGGTATACCATATAGTGAGTTGACATTTGCATACATTATGAAATGGTCACCACAATAAGTCTAGTAACCATCTGTTCCCATACAGAGTTATTACAATATTATTGATCATATTCCTTATGCTGTATATTACATCCCCATGGCTTATTTATTTTATAACTAGAGGTTTGTACTTCTTAATCTCCTTCGCTTATTTCTCCCCCTACCCCCACCCCTCTGGCAACTACTGGTTTGTTCTCTATATCTGTGAGTATGTTTTCATTTTGTTTTGTTTTTTAGATTCTACAAATAAGTGAGATCATATGGTATTTGTCTTTCTCTCACTTCACTTAACATGATATCCTCTAGGTCCATCCACATTGTTTCAAATGTCAAGATTT